ATATTCACAAAAAGTTTCATGAGTGTCGGTGGCCTTACGGTAAAAAGCAATGTGATCAGTGAGATCTTCAGGGTGGCGACGTAGGTGGTTCAAATCCGCCGTTCTCAAGTAAACTTCGCGTTTGCTTAACTTCCTTTCTTTGTTTTCTTTTTTCCTTTTTCAGACACAATAATCATTTTCCTGGATGTATACATTTAAAAATTGAAGTATTGATGCCATAAATGAAATATACGCTGCAAGAGATAAAAGTGTATTCGGAGATTGGGCAAACTTTAATTAATTCACAAATGAAAAACGTATACTATTTTACTCTTTCAAGATCATCATTGGCTTCTTTTTCCCCGCAACACTATTCTTAGCAACAAAGGTCGCCATTTCGTTTGTTTATCACTCGCCAAAAACTATCAAATACATTCAAAGGCCTAAAATAGAAAAAAGTTTACAGGAATCGACCAATCGAGCGAGCGCCATTGATCACATAATACCTATAACTCGTTCTTGCGCACGCGCACTTAACGAGTTAATAAAATGGATATATCAACAAAGTTGAAATGGTAAATTGGCCATCGTAACTATAAAATGGTTAACTATGCCTTTATAAATCGAAGACCAGTAAAATCTTTTTTCCGAGGCTTATTGTTGGGGAAACATGTACCTTGATAACATAACCACTGGGATCGCGACTACTTTGAATGACTTTACTATCTTCCATACTGGTACATGCAGGTGTTGTAAAAAGAATTTTCTTAACTTTTCAATTAACACACATTTCTTTCACTGAGAATCTTGTTTATCAGGCCAATGCTGAATTATAATTTTTTAACAAAATTTTATATTCTTTTGAAAATTGTTAGATTTCCAACTATCAGTTACCAACAAGTCTTTATAACTTTTGTATTAATACATTATATCTTGCAGATATATGGTACATGTATTTTTATTAATAGCTTTTGGTCAAGAGAAGGTATTGACCACTTTCATAAATGGCTGCCGGATTAATATTCTTTTGTTTAAATTTAAATTAGCCTTTCTGGCCTCTTTTGAGATAATGTATTCTTTTGAATTTTGTGCTGGAGAACGAGGCGAGAAAAGCTAATTTAAATTTAAACAAAAGAATATTAATCTGGCAGCCATTTATGAAAGTGGTCTATTCTCATGAGAAAAATCTGCATATTGACATCCTTTCTGGGAAAAATCTTTAGGAGTAAAGCTATTGATTGATTTCCATCGAAAATCATACAAAGAGAAAAATAGGCGGAATTGTACATTACAACTGTGATAAACGCTGAAGATGTCATGACAAAACGTTTTACAGTGAAATGTAAACAAAAGAGGTCCTTCAATTTACGTAGCTTACAGCATATCTTCCATTATTGTAGCATGTTCTTCTTGGCCCATCGTAGAGTGAGAGAATGTTGCTAATTTTTTTAAACTTTTAAGAAGCTTCCCGAGACTCTACAACAAAAAGGATCAAAGCCCCGAGAAGCGGAATGGAAAGGAAGGTGTAACAACTTCTCGTGGACTTCTGCATGAACCCATAAATTGGAAACAACAGATTTTCATTAAAATGCGTGCCTTTTGGGATGTCTTCAGTCATTTTCACATTCCCTCACACTGTTCATTCTGATCTTAGTATTAGCAAAGTCGCGTATCTAACTGATATGCGCCAGCGCAAGTGTAACATTTGAAAAGTAAGGCTGTGCAAATAAGTAGTATTTATTTATTTCTCCCTTAATCCCCATCATTGGCCTTCCAATGTTACACTTGCACACAGGTGTCTAGTTGAATTATAATAATTGTAACAGTACTGCAAATTAAACCTAGAAATTCAAGGACTTTTCTTGGACTTTCAAGGTCACATTTTCCATTTTTCAAGTACTCCATTCACTACAATGTCAGGTCGCAATCAGCTGCTCAGAAAGTTAAAAGTCTATGTCTTTTTCAGTTCTTCCACAACATAAGCAATTGTGTCCTCAAGGTCTTTGCAAGTCGCCTCACTTTCTTTGGAAGTTCTCAAACTATTTGACGTTGTAATCTTTGTAATCCGATACTATCAGTAGGTCTGTGACTACTTTCTACAATGAAAAGTAGCTGCGCTTCTGTCCCATGTCAAGATACAGAAAGGTATCAAGTCTATCATTGTTAGTATCATAGTACTGGTATTTGACCTCTGATGGAGAAGAAGAGGTGACTTCCATAATGAATTGTCAAAATAGTTCCAAAAGGGAATCACAGTCCCCTTCCAGAACTTTCCTTTCATTTTCAAAGGTAGTCAAAACTCAATTGAATTTCGTGATGGAACCATCGTGGTCACTCATCATGTTCCTTGGATCTGAGCAAGATATATTTAATACCAGGGAATACTGAATTGGTGCTTGGTCAATCAGTTTGCAGACTACTTTTACATGGTACTACTGGCATTCCATCTGAAACTGAAGCACTCTTTTCACTGAAACTGTGGACTTTGCAATCAACTCCTTGATTACCTCGTCTTGCAGAACTTCAAAACAAACATTGAGCTTCCTGTTCCTTCAGTGAAGTCCTCTCTCCTTGCTGGACTGTCCAGAAAAAGTCTGTGAAGGGTTAAAGGACAACCTGTCTAACTGCCATCCTGATGGCACTGCATCATCCTTCAATGCTCCATGAAGAATATGTAAACCACAGCTGCCAATGTTCAACATGTGGTTATTACGCTCTTTTTTCACCACATCAGCAAGCCTACCGTAAAATATTTACATTGGGTCCATCCATTGTCAGTTAGTTTGAGAGAAATAATCTCTTGTAATGTAGAAAAAAGTAATAGACGGTAACTTAATTGCATTATTTGCATTATGTCCCAGACTTTGTGCCACGGTCCAACACCACGCCATCCTCGGAGACCCAGGGGCTGTGAGTCGATTTCAAGTTAAGGGCAGAAGAGCCCCTGGGGACATTGTCTTACAAGACTAGTTCCAAACGGTCGCAGTCGTTCTGGCATCTGATTGGTGCCAGAAAATCTTTGTGTTTTTCTGCCCAATCAGAATGAAGTGTCCTTTTGTGTGTTTTAACACGCACATATACAACAAGCTCTGTTGCTCGCTATGTTTGTTTGGGCCGTGC